CAAAGGGACTCCGCCCCCCATCTCTCCTCGGCTCTGATTGGCCCCTCTCGTGATGGGGCGGGACTCGGGCGCACTAGGGCATCCCTGGGCCTCCGTGAGTCTCGTGACTTGCCGCCATGGCTGGGCGAGTTTGTGGCTCACCTCTCGGCCTCTCGAGCGTTTTGCTCGCCCCGGTGCTGGTGCTGGCAGTGCTGCTGGCGCCGCCGGCGCTGGGCCGGGGCGGCCGGGGTAACGGAGACTGGGATGCAGCCGCGCAGCTGCCGCCGCTGCCGCCCCGTGAAGACGCGGCGCGCGTGGCTCGCTTCGTGGCTCACATCTGCGACTGGGGCGCGCTGGCCACCCTCTCCACCGTCCCGGCGGTGCGCGGCCGGCCCTTCGCCAACGTCTTCTCGCTCAGCGACGGGCCCCCCGGCGCGGGCAGCGGCGTGCCCTACTTCTACCTGAGCCCGCTGCAGCTTTCCGTGGGCGACCTGCAGGTGAGCGGAGAGGACCGGCAGCTCCCCGGGATGCGGCAAGAGGCCAGAGCGACCATTTCTGCTCTGGTCCAAAAGCTGCCCAAGACGGAGAGCGTAGCTCATAAAGATAAGAATTTAAGCCCAGCTAACACCCCTGCCTCTTCTGCCCCGGCTGGCATTTGCAACTTCCAAGTTGTTAGGCCAGGGATTTCATACCTGCCCCCGCCCTTGGGCGAAGCACTAGTGGTAAACTCGTTGCCTGCACCGGGAGGATTTCTCACTCCTGAGTCGTCATGAGTCCTACCCAACTTGGGCACGTATCTCAGTTAACTAAGCTCTTATGAAAGGTTTCACAAGATATAGAGACTGTTGGGTAGTTAAGCACTTAACATATGTGTCTTAAGGGTTTATCTTTCTTATCCCTCCTTCTGAATTAAGAGATATTTCCCGCACCAGCAAGAAGCTGGATGCAATATCGTGGATCATTGCAAAGGTTCTTACAGTCATCAGTCCTCCTTTTGCACAAGGACTTCCTCAGTAAGGAGCCCAGGTTTGGGGCTAGAACAGGCTTACAACTCTGAAGGTCTGCAAGTCTGGTGGACCCATCCTGTCCCAAGGAGAGAGGGAGTGTCACAGACAGCTTGGGAAGCTAGAGCCAAATAGAATCCAAGAAATGAATGGAGCCTGCTTTAGTGGAGGGTCTTTTTTGACAGAGATCCTAGATAAAAGGTTCACTGGGAAAGAACAGCTTTCTTGATAAACATAAGGTGGAAAACACTACCATGTGCCAGGCAGATCTTCACTTTCCGTTGTCTCTGTTTAATAACCCTTTGAAATAGGTGTTACTATCCCTATTCTTTGGATGAACTGTCTGACTTCAGAACGCAGGTCATAGGTTAGTGGTCCATGAGGTAAATATGTCCCACAGACCAGTTTTCTTTGGCCTGTATGGAGTTCTGTTTTGTTTTAATAAATTTTAATTGGTTACTGATATTTAAAAATTGATATTGCACTTAGAAATCCACATTCCTAACTTCTCTTGAAAAATTGGAAAACATAGTGACAAAAACTCCAAAGCTGCTGTCCACTTTAGCTAAGGCTCCCACACCCCAGGTCATCATTTTTTTTTATTCCCAGCCCAGTCCACTCCTTTAGACATTTGCTAAAAGCACACTCATTCTACTCCATCCAACTCACACCCACAGTTGATTCTCACTCATAGTGACCCTATAGGACAGAGTAGAACTGCCCCATAGGGTTTCCAAG